TTTGAAGATCAGTTTCTCTGATCATTATCGAGAGTTTTCTCAAGTGACGCCAGTCATTTGGGATGTAATTAACTATAGGGGTATGCCGCTATAAGAAACTTGGTACCCATGTAAATAAACCCTATTTAATATTTGTATTAGATAGGAGAACTCGTCGGTCATTTATAAAAGATTTTCAGACCAAACGGATGTCACAATCTCTTAGTTTGTATGATTAGGTCCATCGTCGAGGTATACACTTATCTTTTCGGGAAAGTGTAATATTCAGGGTATCGGATACAGTTATATAGACTATTGAACGAATGAGAACTATTTGGTCTCATTTTTCAAAAATTAAAACACAATAATTTCAGAATCAAAACTATATACCTCTTATATTAAAGTTAAATGACAAAATTATATTCAAATAAAACAAATTTGACCAACTCTGTGTGTGTGTGTGTGTTGGGGGGGCAATGTTTCCACGATTGGACATGAGAAAATCAAATGGGAATGACTCATAATATGAACAATTATCTTAAGAAATTCAAATGAATGAATAATAGGAGACATCACAGATCCAGGAGAAACCCCGGGGATGTCCCAACTATCATAATGTTCGGCTTTATGTCTTTGAAGTAATGTTGTTTAATGTTTAATCCTGCAATTTATTTAGAATTCAAGACTTATATTCGCACAACATCACTCGAGCCTTAGCAAATTAGCAATTTATTTTTTATTTTAAACAGTTAATCATTCACCTAAATTAAAATCCAAGAAACAAAAAAAATCGCATAAGCAGTAATCTAATATTAATCTAACAAAAATTGCACATAAATATTTTAGTCCTTAAAGAAAATGAACTTGCATGAACTTTGATGATAATCAATCCCACAAGCAATCCAATTACTAAATTAGAAAAAAATGCATGATAGATAAGTACTGATCAAATAAAACTACCTTTGATAAAAGGAAATCTTTTCTCCAAAAGTTTTACAAGGCTAGAAATTATTCTATAGATATAGATATTTAGTGAGTTAAAGTAGAATGCCAAATAAAAGCCTCTTTTTTCTTTTTTTAGGTGTCCCTTTTTATAATCATAAAATTCTTCAAATAAAAAAAAATATTTAAGTAAAGGCAGTAGAATTGATATTTTAGGGTTAATATTAACATATAGTGTCTCAATGAAATTTTGTTTCAGCTTTCTTAGTTGACTATGGTAGACATGATTTGACAATATTCACATCCAAGAATGGATTTCATTTCTATCTCCAGTCAATTTAAAATATGATCTCTTGTTTGAATATTGGTCAGTTCATGAACAACTCTAACATAGATGCATATTTAAACTCAATGAAATTAGATGTCTGCAAATATTCAGAGGGGGGAGTGTGAGGGAGGGAGAGAATCAAAGAGAGACAGGCAGTAGAGATATAACTTATTTTATATGTTCTTCATCATTCATTGCCTTGTCATCAAAATTATCTGTGTATGTACTGGCATAAAATCAACTTAACTATCTGTCAACAACAAAAATTATTTTCAATCAATGTTCCATTTCAAGCCAACACGTGCCTTGTCTGCAAATATTCATTAAGTGTACCATATATAATATTAGCAGTCATCACATTGCTAAAGAGTTTCCGATTACAATAAGATTAAATTATGGATTAACATAAGTGTACAAGTTTGTGTATTTCTTACGCATGATATTCAAAATTTGCGATTTTGTGTGTGCTTTCTTAAATGGTATTATTCCAAAATGAGACCTTGATGCTCAACTCTTAGTGTCTGAGGTTTTCTAATGCAATTTTAGGTTGAAATGCACAAACATCACTCGAGCCTTAGCAAATTAGCAATTTATTTTTTATTTTAAACAGTTAATCATTCACCTAAATGAAAATCCAAGAAAAAAAAAATCGCATAAGCAGTAATCTAATATTAATCTAACAAAAATTGCACATAAATATTTTAGTCCTTAAAGAAAATGAAGTTGCATGAACTTTGATGATAATCAATCCCACAAGCAATCCAATTACTAAATTAGAAAAAAATACATGATAGATAAGTACTGATCAAATAAAATTACCTAACCTCATATTGATAAAAGGAAATCTTTTCTCCAAAAGTCTTACAAGGCTAGAAATTATTCTATAGATATAGATATTTAGTGAGTTAAAGTAGAATGCCAAATAAAAACCTCTTTTTTCTTTTTTTAGGTGTCCCTTTTTATAATCATAAAATTCTTCAAATAAAAAAAATATTTAAGTAAAGGTAGTAGAATTGATATTTTAGGGTTAATATTAACAGATAGTGTCTCAATGAAATTTTGTTTCAGCTTGCTTAGTTGACTATGGTAGACATGATTTGACAATATTCACATCCAAGAATGGATTTCATTTCTATCTCCAGTCAATTTAAAATATGATCTCTTGTTTGAATATTGGTCAGTTCATGAACAACTCTAACATAGATGCATATTTAAACTCAATGAAATTAGATGTAGAATCGTATTACATTTGCAAATGATTTTTTGCATTTAATTCATCAGCAAAAGAATATTCATTAATTCTTGTTTTTTTATAATATTAGATTTAACCATTCTTTTGTTGGCACATGTTTAATAAAGTGGTGTTAAAGATTTTTCTTAGAAATATTAATCAATGGCGCAATAGACCTACAGTAGAGTAGTCATAATATTCCTTAACATATAATGTTCCATATAAAGTTTCGTGTAGTATTTTTTTGATGAATTATAATATGCTTCAATTTTAATTTCCACCCAAGACTTCTATGAAACAAATAATGATAAAATAATAGTCTGAATGCAAAGAATATTTAGCTACAGGAATGAAAACTTGCATAAATTTTAGATACACCAAAAATATTGTGTGTATTGTCGAGTCGATTAGTTTGACTATAAGTTTGTTGAAATCAAAATTCTGGATGAATTTTAATTTGAATTTGAATGTTTCTTGTTCGAAAATGTTCTGAGATTCATGCCAAATAAAAAAAATTGCTGAGAACATATCAGGCTTCATAATTCTTATATTGATTTTGTAAATGATTCTTATATTCATTGAATAATAAATGTTATTTTTTAATATTATATTTCATTTAAATTTATGTAGAGTTAGCAAAAGCATTTGCCCAAAATGATTAAGATATTCCATTAATTTCTTTGTAACACACTCCCAACCGGTGGCATCTTTCAAGGGTAACTAACGAATTATCTTCCTAGTATGAAATTTCTTTATCATTATGTCTTGTATTGAACATTGGAGCATATTTCCAAGTCTCATAATAGCCACGTTGTAGTTGTTTAGAATCATAGCGTACCTTATTTCATTTGAATTAATTATTTAATTATTTTATTGATTGATCCAATTATTATGCCCTACTTCTAATTAGCAATATGATGAAATCTTAAACTCTATTTTTTTATTGTAAATTATGGATGAGATGCACAAAATCAACCATATAAGGATAAGTTCCTGATTCACAAATTTTTAATTTGGTTTACTGATCTTTACGAAATTTACATAAATGGTAATTTAATAATCTAATAGATCACTATAGAATATTGTGATCATAACATAAAATTTATATTTGATTGGAATTCACAATGCAATTCAAATATTCAAGGTGCGTGAGTTTTGACTATACTTAAATCTCATCAACAAATCAATTACTAAAATTATATAATAAACAAAAGAGGACAACTAATTATATATTGAAGATCCAACTCTCCTTTTTATGCAAAGGGACAACTTTTTTTTAGAGTTTTGAAAGGCTAAAAAATAATTTCGTTCAATCAAAATTTATTGAATTAAAGTAAGTGTGTCAAATAGAAGTTCTCTGCATATGCCGTAATTGCCCTTATTTATAGTTACAAATCCCTTCTAAAATATCTAAATATCGATAAATATCCTAATCTAGTAAAAATTGACATTATGATATACTTAGAATAATACAGACTGGCTTCAATAAGGCTTATAAATCAATCACAATAAAGCTTGTAGAGTCGGAGTCATAGATTTCCATTAAACAACTAAACAACTTAATGACTTGCTATAATTTACTACAAAGAAGCATTATTTTATCGAAGATTGAGGACAAAGATGATGAAATAACTTTTGAAGGCAAGGTCTATCGATTAAGGTAAATATGTGTTAATTTCTATGTAAGAAAAGAAAATTATGGACATTTAAGATAAATTTATAGTATTATAATTTTGTCAAGTATCTTGTAATCATTCGGCCATTGGGTGGTAAGTTCTTGATAGCCAAATTAAATGACAAAAATAATAATGTTGAGTTATATGTATATGATCAAAGTAGGAATGATAAATTTAAAAAGTTTTATGTTAAAAGAATTTTAAGAGCAATAACTATTGTACATAATTTTCGTCATTACATTAGTTGAATCATAACCAGATGAATTCTCATTTTACATTTGATCTCTAGGTACCGCTTGAGATATTATACATATTTTTCATAATTTATTCCGGGCAAATTCTTTTCATGTTAACTCGTAAGTTTATCCCTTTTTATTTTCAACCATTATTGATATGTGGCAAATGATGATGATGATCATCACAAAGGGTTGAGTAATGTTGCATTTATTTTCGACCATATCACTCAGGTCCCTATCATGAGGAGACGTGCAGAGATTGGAACGCCTATTTAAACCAAGAATAAAATTATGAGCATGTACATAAATATCATAATTCTCATAAAATTATGGGCATATACATACATACCACAGTACCTATTGCAGGTTTGGCATTGCTCTTAAACCAATGGGTGGAAAATTTGTTTGTTTGGCCAACAAAATTGAGTCTAAATATGGTTATTTCCTTGTTAAAATTTTGATCAGGATGGATCTCAAATTTCCTGCATCTTCTTTGAGATGCATGTAATATTAGTTTCTCATATATCACACTCATAACAAAATTAAATATTAAGATTTTAAGATTCATCCTAACTAATTTCTTCATGGGAACATCTGATTGAAAACAGTATCCGTTGATTGCATAATCTCATTTTTTTTTTCCGTTTTATATTTCTACAGGTTGGGTTTGATGATTGCGGGAGGTATAGTGCTGTCAATTTTCATGACACATGCTTCCGAGCAGCTTGCTCTTTCTGCTTTTGTTAGAGGGATAGAGGAACGTGATCTTCCCAGAACTAGAACCGTATGTTTCTTCTGTTGATTTTGTTATTCACTTGTTGCCTGATTGTGCATTAATTTTTAATGATAAATTATGTATTTAGTGCAGAGTAGCTTTCTATTTAGGCATTTTTTGTCTTACCCCTTTTAGATTTCTGTAATTTTTGTATTTGTGTGGAAAATATTGTCATGCACTGAATTGTTGAGTACTGATTGGTGCATTTTCTGTAGTTTTATTCATAGAAATTGTCAAATACGATGAAAAGAAAAAGGTTTGAAATTTAATTTTTTATCAATCAAATTAATATTTAAATATATATGATCCGTCTTAAAATAAAGAGTAAATTTATGAAATTCATCCATTCAGGATTGTGATAGAATTTTGAGCAAAAAAAATTTAAAAATATTAAATGAAAATGAGATACTAATGACCCCAAATCTCAAGTACAGGACATACATTTACATAGGTATGATTCACTTATGTCCAAGACTACATTGAGATCAAATATTCACCAAACTTTAAAAATAAAGTACATAGAGACTGCAATTCATATAAATAAGAACAAAGATATCATTCTATTTGTGTTAACATGGATAATAGGTGTGGATGATACATTTTACTCTCTTTTATTTTTTTTTATAGTAAGAACTTCTTCCTCTCTTCTTTCTTTTGTCTTTTTATTTGCTTAAAGTGAGATGCTTTACAAGAGAGGATTATATGAGCTCAATTAGGGTAAAACTTCCTTCTAATATTAAGATTCAACCAATATTGAAGGCATTTATAATCTTTATTGTAGACTTTTGCGGTAGCATTTATGTAGAATTTTATGATAATCCTTTTTTCTTCTCATGTTATGGAAACCTCTATTTTGCACTTCATAGTAGCCTCCATTTATGAGCTTCATGCTGTTGAAGTGATCCACTATTTTGCACTTTACAGTGAATTGCTATATTTATGAGCTTCATCATTCATAAATGTTAGCTAAGATGTTACAAAATCTTAATTCTTTTATGGTATCTACTTGTATGTATTTTTTTATGAGCAAAAATTTTATTCTTTTAGAAAGCAATTGAGCAATACAATCTCCCTACTGGTTTTGGTGATTTTCTTATATTCAGCTGTTATGATTGATGGCTCTTGGCTGATAGCATTGCCACAGAAAATGAGGTTTTTATTTTTTATTTTTTTTTATCTTGAGATAATAATATCCACCAATTCAACATGCTATGAAGTTAGAGGCATTTCTTATGATAATATTTAACTATTCTTTTCATAATATCGATTCATTAAAGATAATATTTTAATTTCTAATAATTTTACCATATTTGGTATCTCAAATTGTGTCAAACAATCCATCATATCCCATGTTATAGGTCTTCATGGATTATTGACAAGCTTTCTTTTGATTCTTTTGATTTGATATACATACAATTATACATGCAAGCATATATATATATATATATATACAAAATAAAATAGATATATAATTGATAACCAGAACTTTTTAAATATTTTCTAGACTGAGCTTCTTTAGGGAGCCTAAAGTCGTCATTTTTCTTATGTGGGCAATATTTTTTTTAATTTATTGTAAATTCAATATAAAGATAATATTTTTAATTTTAATAGAAAAAAATTGAAGTCTTTGGGTGTGGGTAACAATTTTTTCCTGAATAATTTAGATGGCAACTCATAAGAAAATATTTCTTTTAGTTACTTTTCTCCCATTCTAAGTGCGATATCCATCGTGATTTCTTTGGATAAAATACCTCTGAGGAGAGGGGATGATGTTGGCATAGTTTCAAATTGATAATAGGGGACCTAAGGGTTATACTCATATGTACCATAATTTGTAACCTAATATTTTTTAATCATCCTTTTAATGTTGCCAACTATCATTGTTACTTTCCTCCATTTGAGAATAATTCTTTCTAGGCAATCTTATTTTAATGTCGCTTGAAACTTGGGTTGACAGAGATTACATAAATGGGGAAAGCTTCTTCACCTCTACCCCTTCCCCTGGAGCCTCCAATGCACGCCAATATCTCTCTCATGGCTTCCCATGGCTATTTAATGCCACAACTCAAGAGCCTGACAACACAAGAAAACTCCCACTGAAACCCTCTGCCTCCAACATCAACTTTGCTCCCACAAACCCTAACGGTCACCTCCCACAATTTCCAAGCAATCTCCACCACCCCATAACCCTAATTTCCTCTCTAAAATCCAGGGCTTTTTACGGTCTTGACATCAACCTCACAAAAACTCTATTTCAACCCTTCCACTATCTTCACAAGGTCCTAAAACCTTATACCCAATCAAAATCCCTTATTCCCGCGCTTTCTAACCTATTAACACCAATCCAACCACCCTTTGTTCTAGCACATACAAAGGCTCAACCACAGATCAAATTGAAGCAAGGAGGAGGCACGCAACTCCAAGGGCAAGCTTCTCAACCTATCCAACTGATGCCTCTTCTCTTGGACGAAGTTAATGGCTCGATACTCCTAAATTTCCCCTCGGTTTGGCCTTCTATGACGAAAATGAACAATGTATGCCCACTTAGTCGTATAGATGAATTCCTCTCACTTAGATGAATCTATAGGATCAAATCTCATGCGATTTCATTGAGAGTGGAGCGAGATATTAGGGTTTTAGGGCAGACGGCTCTGACAGTTCTCTATTCTTTGCCCCGTGGGGACGATAAACGAAAGTCCATTTCTGTGCATTTGAAACGGACGGCAGAGATTGAACCGACACGAGATCTTATCAGTGCACCGAATCGAGGCCACCTCGTCGGCTTGCGTGGAAAGGGTAGCGAACCGTGGAGCGTCGCGTGGAGTTTTGGAGCATCCAAGGATCGAGTCAACGCCGCTTGGTTAAGTAAGAAAGTCTGGTTATTTCAAATTACTTAAATCTAGAAAATGCTTATAAACTTAAAAAATTCATAACTCAACAAATAAAAATCATAAAAATAAAATAAAATTACCTCTGAACTTAGTGAATAAATGAGAAAATAATAAAAATAAAAATGAGATTAATTAATTTATATTTAATTTTCAATTAATTAAATACTTCATAAAGTATTTTAATTATAAAAAATTAAATATAATAGAATAAGTATGAAATTAAAAGGAAATAATCCCTCTGTCATTGGAAACATTTCCAGGTTTTTGCAAGAATAAAGACCTTCTCTGACACTAAAAGTTCTAATTTTCTATCAAAATTATAAATATTTTGAAAAATAATTATAAAAATTAAAATATTAATCACAAAAATACAAATTTGAATTCAAATTAGTAAAGAATAGTGGGATAGTAAGCCCACACACTAAAATTATAATTTTCATTTTTGAAAATTTAAAAATGAAATTAACATAGTAAGGGTAAAATTGTAAAATTGCAAATATTGTACTTTAGCCCAAATTATCTCCTAAAGTTCAATTAAACACCCAAATGAAAACATTAAATGATATTATTAATTAAAGAGGGCTAATTTCATAATTACCCCTTTATTTATGAAATTACCTTAATAACCAAAACTTCAAGTTTAATTTAAGTCTAGCCTATCATAGACTAAAGCCAACCTGAATTTGTCCTAAAACTTAACTTTGGTCCCAACTTAGACATAACTTAATTCAAATTTTAAAACTTAACTTAGGTTTAACCCAATTTATATCTAAATCATTTTAAACTTCAATTCAACTTAGGTCTAACCCAATTTAGACCAAACTCACTCAACTTGACTTTAAACTTAACTTAGGTCTAACCCAACTTAACTCAAATTTCAAACATAGCTTGTGTCTGACATAACTTAGACCTAACTCAACTAAAAATTTAAACTTAAAGTAGGTTGAACCTAATTTAAACTTAACTCAACTTAAAATTCAATTTAACTTAGGTCTAACCCAACTTAGGCATAACCCAATTTAACTCAAATTTCAAACTTAGCTTGGGTCTAACATAATTCGGACCTAAGACAACTAAAGTTTTAAATTATCCCAGGTCTAACCCAATTTAGACCAAACTTAATTTAAACTTCAATTCAACTTAGTCTAAACCACCTTAAATTTAACCGAACTTAACTCAAGTTTCAAACTTAGTTGGAATCTAAAATAACTTGAAACTAACTCAACTAAACTTTAAACTTAACCTAGGTCTAACCCAATTTGGATAACTCAATTTAAAGTTCAATTCAACTTAGGTCTGGTGGCATGGGGCTGGGTTGTTGTGCCTTCAGGGTGCTCTCGCACGTAGTTGTGTACTATGAATTTTTTAACTTAATTTGTGCAACAATGTGGCTCTACTCCTATGATCCATGTCAAGTGTTGTTGCACCCCTATGTGTCACACAAGTACACGTGGTCATTTCAAATTTTATCAATTTTATGAGTCTGGTTTGTTGATCCCACATAGAAGGAGGTGTTTCAATCCTAATAAAAGTTCTAGCATACTAAACTAGTTCTTAGTCTGGAAGTATCGATAGTATTAAAGTTATACTGATAGTTTAATATATTTAACAACTTTGCTAATTGTATTAAAATTTTGTGGAAATCAAGCGATAAGGTTGTCCTCTCCTGAGTGCATAAAGAAGTTTGGTTGAACTAGTTTTAATTCCTTTTACCCTAATTTAAACCCATCAAATAGTATTTCCCGATCTATTTGCATCTCCCTATAGGTAACTTTTACTTCATACCTTATAGTTCCAATGTGATTCTTCTTAGTTGTTCATGTCATAGCCCTCTCTAGTCATTATGAGTTCACAACGGATTTTAACGAAATCATTTGGTCAAAATGATAAGTAAACTAAGCACCAAAGGAAAATCATTACTTTAAAGAGTAAAAATCAATTTTAAAGACATTACACCTTTCTGTACTACCTACTTATTCATTATAAAGGGAAAGATTAAAAGAAACTACTTACAAAGCATAAAGAATTTGCCAAAAATCATATTTAAAACAAAGCAATCCCTTAAACATATGAATAAAGTAAGTTACAACACAAAAGTAGTTTACAACACTTAGCTTTTTCCCTTCCCAAGCATTGAAAATCTCCCCCAAGAAGATCTCTTAAATCTTTGCTTCATTGTCAAATCCTAACCAAAAACTAAAATATAAAGCAATCTAAACTAAAAATGAACTCTAAACTTCCCCCTAGGAATTCCCCCATGGTTCATAAGTCTTCCCCCCTTCTTAGGCTACTTAGAATTACTCT